CTTCCCACTGGTCTCCCTTCCTCTAGTCTTTCTCCCCTCTAATCTATCCACTAGAGAACAACCAAATAATCTATATAAAATAGGAGGCTGACTATCACTGTGACTACCCTACCAATCAATTGCAGCTTCACATTTATTGGTTCAAGGCCAACCTCCTGGGCATAGCATGAACTTCCCTCAGTCACACCTCCTTTTCATGGTATATAACAAGTATGCATTTTCATGCTTCTATGTTGTGCTGGCTGAGTTCAGATATCCTTTCCTCTGCTTCTTCTGTCATAACACCTGCCACAACATATTTAAATTATCCATACTTACCCTTCCCAACTGGGCCATAGAGAACAGGTCTTATTCACATTTGGTAATCTACAGCTCAGCATTTGCTCTTTTATTCAATGAATATTTATCTACTACTCCCCAGGGTTCTGGGAAACCATAGTGAATAAAACAAAGTCTCAGTCTTCATGGATCTCACATCCTAGTGAGGGGACTACAGGAGATTGCTTATGTAATGGGTGCTCAAGATCTAGTACTCACAGTGAAAATTTTTGAAAATCAAGCAAATGAAAATCTTCTTAAACCATTGTCTAAGTACACCATCTGGAACATTGCTCTGACTGATTTTCCCTTTAAACAACAAATATGGTGGTGACTAAGGCAACTTATGCAACAGATTGAACTGCCCTAATTATGGACCTTTTGGTCTTTGGTAAATGATAATTCTCCTGACTGGTGGAAAACATTTTCCCATATAAATGAATTTTTAAAGATAGTTTTAAAACCATCACATTAGTAATCTATTTCCCTCACTTATAAGCCCTGTCCTCTTTATATCAGAAGAGGAAAATTGACATATTTCCTTTCTCTAAAATGTGCTTATTAGATAATTTCTTAACTTTTGTTCGTGGATGACACATTAGTCACAATTTTCTACAAAGGAATGACTGAGGAAAATAAAATTATTATAATAAGTGTATACAGTTTGAAATAACTGTGTTCTTTTTGCTTTCCCTACTTAAATTAGCTCCCTCAATTAAAATCTTTCTAAATTTCTAAATATCTATATTTTTGCCTTTGCTTATTAACGTCATAAGTTTCCATGGTTTTCAGAATGCAACGCCCCTTCACCCTTTGCAAACCTAAAAGCTCTTGTCCCTCTGAGGAGTGAATTGCAATGATGTCCCTGCTTATTTTCTGCTCCTCTCACTATGGAAGGCACACAGGTTAGTAAGGGACACCACCATTTATACAGATGCTTAAGCCAAAACTCTGGCATCATCCTTGCTTCCCTCCCACTCGTCTTTACCCCAGTACTCAGTCTATTTCTATCTCCTGTTGATTCTTCCTTCTAAATGTCTCTCAAATCTGCCGACTTTGCTCCAGCCATCTCCAGGCTCTAGCTCTAAAGCAGACCCTCATAACTTTTCACCTGATTTCTGCTTCATAATCAGTCACTATTTCACTTATTATCCCTATGTCCCTCCAGCAAACAGAGTGATTTTTTAAAAATGTCAATCTGACCATATCTAATTGACAACACTGAATATTCTTTTATTGCCAAAAGGGCAGAGACAAAAATTCCTCAATGTGGCTTCTTGGCCCGTCATGAGCTGGCCCCTGCCTACCTCTCAAGCATCATCTCTCAGCACTCTCCTCACAATCAAGCTATACCTAAATCTGCAGATTTCTTTCATGCCACCATATTTTAAACCTCTGTATGTTGGTTCAGACTATTTTGTTGGTTCATCCCACACCCATTCTCCTTCTCTTGGAAAAGGTCAGGTCTTCCTTGAGTCTCTGAGCCATTGTTTCCCTTCTCTTTGTTTCCCACATCCATCACACTTTGTCACCATTTGCTCCATGCCTTTCCACTAGAAAGCAAGTGCTAAGAAGAGGGGCCACGTTTTGTTCATTCTAGCATCCCCAGCACTGAGCACAAAATAAATATTTGTTAACTAAATTAGTGTGATGTAACTAAAACCTCATTGAAAAGAATTGAGAGTGAACATAATTATTAGAAAACATAAGAAACTTTTTTTTTTTCCAAAAGGCACAACTGGTCACATTTGGTCTCTGGTAAATATCTGCAGCACTCCAGAGTTTAACTCTCAAATGTTAAGTCTATAGCCGCATTTACATTTCATCAGACCTACAATCCAGACTTAGTGTTCAGCTGCCCAAGTTGACATCTGGGCTGATTTATTTTCATTTGACTGTTAGAAGTTAGCTTCCACAGCTGTTGTGGTACTGTATTGTCAATCATTTGACTCCTTTTAGATAAGAGTTTTATTGATTTGGAGGGAAAAAACAATAACCTTCAGAAGACTCACTTTTCAATCTCTTAGCAGAAAAAAATTAGCACTCCTCTCCACAGATATGCCTTCACTGCTCTCTCAGATTGTGAATATTCTTTACAAGAAAATGAAAGCAGTGAATGGGACTTGAGGCTATATTTTTAAGTTTTAAATGGTCCTCAGTAGATAAAATTTTAATATATTGTCTTTGAAAACAAAAATGGAGTTTTTCACAAAAGCTAAAAACTAAGAGCATTTAATCCACACTCCCTTCATTCAACAAGGCTTGTGATGAGCTCTGTGGCGGCATTATACTTTAATGTATTTTATAATGTGCTTTGGCCCTCAACTTATTGTTACCCTGTGACCCTTCATACAACAGCTGGGCATTCTATTTGTATGTGTCAAGGAAGGATTTTTACAGAACACAGGAGGAAAAAAAAAAAACCTTTCTCTTTAAACTTTTATGGCCTTTAAGCTTCAAATCCCAAACCCTGAAAGACTTGGGGCATAACATTTTTTAAAACCATGCAATCAGTTGGAACATTTTTTCCACCCACAGATTAGATATGGAATCTATGCCAAGAGCAAAGATGACAAGCAAAGAAGAGAGGAGGGGAAAAGAGCAAAGGTGGAAGGAGAAGAGAAGGGAGAAGGGGGAGGGAGAGGAAAGGAAGGGAGGGAAAAAGAGGGGAAGGGAGAATCAGAGGGAAGCAGAGGAATGACATGCTGGAGGACCCTCATAGATCTACTCTTGACTTCCCTGGACTCAGCTGGAGAAAAAGTAGAAATCTCCTGATAGAATCGGGGTTCTAAGTAAATGGGGACCAATGCCACCTTCCCTGGTAGAGTTGTGAAAAGCAACAAGGCATCTGGGTTTTCCTGTGCTCATCATGTATCAGCTAAGATCTAATGAGGAAAACAGAAACAACTATTTAAGACTGAGGAAATTTAATTGGGACAAGGAATTGCTACATAGGTGGTAGAGAAATGGAGAAGTCAAAGGGATGATGACACAGCCTAGAGATTAGCAGCAGCAGGAAGCCACTACTGACTCTGTGCTGGAAGGACAATGGGAAAAGATGGTGTTATTGGAGCCCAGGGGCCAGGGTTACCCAGGGAAGCTGGAACCACAGGAGGCCTGACTAGACAGGCGATCATAAAGGAAATGTAGCTGCTAATGATGATGCAAAAAAGGTGGAAGAAAATCCTGGTCTCTTCCTTCTTCCCACCTTCAGTTGCTCACAGGTGCCTCATAAGCACCAAACCCAACTGTAATCTAGCTAACATGAGTCAGCCACTCTGCAGCAGAGTGAGAAATGGGTGAGGCACGGGTCTGAGGGCAAATACACCCTGAGAGCAGGAAAATGTCTCCAGTAGATGTCTAGGACTATGGACCTAAGACAGCCTCACAGAGTCCCCATGGCCCAGCATGACCTAGAGGAGACCAGAGGAAGGCACATATGACAAGGGAGCCTGAGAATTGAAGGAGCCTTGATGTGGGACAAGGAGGACACATAAGGATCTACCTAGACAGGAAACCAAAGACTAAATGGGCCCTCAGAGATTTCAGTGGATTCCAGCTTGTACAGAAGTCAACATTGAGAAGATAATACTTGGCTCCACCATAATGAATTAGCTATGTATAACTGTTCCCCACCCCCACTCTCACACCACTTGATATTCCAAGGAAGGGGAGAAGAGACCATATAGCAGAATGGAGGCTGAATCTAAATTCACCATTAAACAAAAAAAGAAAGAACCTAAACCAATGAACAGACATAGTACTTCATCTAAAAGAGCCAACTGAGTGGTGGGGAAGGATGGACATATAACATAGACATCAGTAATGCAGTGAGAAACAGAGAGAAACAGGTCATGTTAAAGGATGCACTGGGGCTAGAGATGCATATAGAGAAGTTCCTGTACTTGTTTGTAAGGTACGGCTTCTCAGAGAAGGCATCACAGACAGGTGACGTTTGGTGAAGTTAAGGGATTAATGGGGATTTAGCAAGCAGATGGAGGGGAGAGCCTCCCCTCTGTTGTCTTCCTATATCCCTCTTAATGCCCTGATTTTCAAAAGAAGCTAGTACATTAGTTATCTAACTATAGCCCATTAAAGTCTTTCAGCATCATGCCAAATCTCTCCAGATTTATCATCCATTTGATAGTAAGTGAGGGAGTGCTGAAGTGCCAGGATTGATGTGACCTTAGTTTCAACTCTAATGAGTAGCATCAGCAGCTTGCCGGAAATGAGATCCTTAAAATGTATTCTCTTGTAAATTTGATGAGGCCATTTTTAGACTTCAGTTTTGAACTAGACTGAGATCTCAAGGCACTCAGGTAGCCTTATAGAATATGTGATCCACAAGAAAAATATACATAAGCCATCTAAAATATATTATTTCCACATTGATCAACTTCTATTATGCAACAAATTTCAGATCTGTCATGTAACGCTCTGATCTGCCAGGACTCTCCTCACAATACTGCTTTTTGCCATTTTTTTAAACAGAGAAACAAGACCATGATTTACAAGTAACCTCATCTATCACTATTCCAGAAACAATATTCCTAAACTTGCCTTTTGTAACCTAATAATTTAAGAAATAAAAATAATTGTTCTCTCCATTGTTTATAAAATGGAAAATTATTATATTACAGAAAACAATAAAAGTTATTGAACTGTTTTGAACATTTTTTTACCTCATTAGAGATATCTGTTCCAGAGAGATCTAATGATATCAAGGAGAAGATGTTTACGATATATTCAATTCCTAAGTCAGTCAAATATTCACAATTTCGTAAATTCAAGTAGTTTAAGTTAGGGCAGCTGAAAGAAAGCAGCATGAAAAATTAATTTTAGTTTTTAAGTACACTGTCAGTAACAATTTCTTCACATAAAACTATCTGGGAAAGCAAATGGTATTGAAGCAAGGATTTCACTTTTCTCAACAAAAAGTAAGCTTAAAAGTGGAAAATAATTTGGCATTACAAAGTTGGATGAAAATGAGGTGAATTATTACATAAGACATTCTTTCTCTTATTTCGTTTCATATTGCAACTTCCAATAAGAAAAATATATCATATACATATCATGTAAGTAACACATGATAAATGACCACTAAAAGTTCCAGGTTAAATGTCTTACTTATTCCATATGAGTTTGCTACAGGAATTAGGTTTGATCCTTGTGTACACAAGACCTCTAACAAGTAAGGAGAATCAAGAATAAATCTACAGCTAGAACATCCCTTAGGAAATGCTTGAGTAAAGGTTTACATCAAGATAATATCCTTGAAAAGTACAGGGAAGTCACTCATGCCTAGATAGTCATAACTTCATGAATGACTCCATTTCAAACTTTCTCTAAGATGAAATTAACAAGAAACATCTCAAATACAATCAAAAGATTAGTTTACTATATGACTCCAATGTCTGTTCTTTGATTTCATTGAGTATTAGACCAGCTTTTGGGCATCACTGATGGTTTCCAAATGACTTTGAAGGTCTATCTCTGATCTCTCCTATTAGCAAGTATACAATTACTAATGATACACTGTAAAGTATTATTGTTTTATCATACCAGTCTGATAGTTTCATAATAGAGGCATCACCCAGTTGGATGCAGTTACTTAAATTTAGCTCTCTCATCCTTGTGCTCGCAGGACCATCAAGAAATTGCTTTAGTCCCACATCACCAATTCTGTAGGAAAGAGTAAAAAAAGCTTTACATGTGATTTTTTTATATTTAAGATATAGAATGCTATTTAATGAGTAGTTACTACACCCATATATTCCAAAATAGCAAGATAATATCTTTATACTGGTATTTTGTCAACATTTTAAAACCAGACTTGATTATATGGCTTTTGGTTTAAAGTTTTTTTAAGTATAAATGATAGTAATGGGAGAAGTTTTAATAAAAATGCTATTCCTGTTCATTTGTTCACTTAAGTGGCATTACTATAATTATTAAGAAAACAGATAGTCCTTAGGTTTCTTTCCCTTGGGTTAAAATGTGATCAAGTTAAGCAGTCTCTGATGCAATTTCTTGCAAAATAAAAAGACCAAAACTATGAGACTAACAATCACACTACTGCTAGAATCTTGGAGGAATTTCCACTAAATACAAGGTCAATTTAGTTGGACTGGGAACCCAATAAGTGACCTATGGATACTTTCCTTCTGAAGCAGAGAAAACCTGGAAGAAGACCTTGACCTCAGTCTTCTCACATTCCCTAATCAGAGAAAGCTGTGTGTCATGACCATCCCTGAGGGTGTATCCTGCTTTATAAATGGTTGGAGGTCTATTTGGCCCATTAGTTCCCTGTTTTCTAATGGGACCTTTATTTCTAATTCCTTTTGGGGACCGCCAATTCCTTTTTAAAAAGTATTTCCAGGAGAGAGGCGAGATGGCTGCAGTCTAGGGAAGTTCCGTCCACTCGCCCCCAGCACCAGACCGGAACTGTGGCTAAACTGAACATCTGAAATGAAAACCCAGCTGAAAAATAGCTGATCGGAAATACTGTGAGCGGGTAGTGCAGAGAGGGGACAGAAGAAGCGGGTGGGGAGCCAACTATCCTGCAGCCGGAGCACCGCGGGAGGGCGCAGCGGTGCAGCCCCGCCCCTGGGAGCCTGGGTCTCAGCCCCACGCAGGTATCCCCAAACCAGAGCAACAGAGAAGGGGAGGGCAGCCCGTGTTGCACCGCACAGTGGGAATCGGTGGTGATTTGGCCCACCTGGGAGACTCAGGCCACACTGCCTCAGGCACACACCAGGGCTTGGCTGCAACACCAGCCGGGAAGCTGGCCCCATCGGTGTCTGCGGAGAGCACACAGCAGAACTCTGGACCGGCCGAGGGCGCAGAGTGGTTCACCCAGCAGTGAATCTGAGGGCCTGATTATTCTCTGAAAGAACTTTTGGCAGACAGCAGGTCCCTGGTAAAGAGGTGCCATCCTCCCCACCTCGAGCAAAGAGGAGGCACCCCCCCCACACACACCTGTGCAATGGCTGCGGGCTGGAAATCCGCACCCCTGGGCTGGGCCTAGCAGTGAGGGGGATCTCTGACATCTGGCCTGGTAGGAGCCTGGGCACAACACTGTCCACCGAAAGCCAGCCCTGCTGAAAGATCAGAGAGCCAAGTGGGGCAGGGTTTTGCTGTGTGCTTTTTTAAAATTTCAGTTATTTTTTATCCCTTTCTGCTTAGGGTGGCAACAAGAGGGTGCCAGTGACCCAGTATTAATAAGATTAATAGGTTAATATTTATTGATTAAAGGTACCACCCCCAGTAAAGATAATATGATTGGGTATAGAATCTTGGGATCATATTATTCCGCCCTTGAAACTGTGTAAGTGAAATGGTATAATGATGTAGTGATAAAAAAGTATGTGTGTCTGTATGTGCGTGTGTTATCAAATATAATCAAGACTGGCCTTGTTTTCTCCTCTACAACAGAATTACCAAATGTATGTATAATATAAAAATATAAAGAAAAATAATATAAATATCCATTATAAATATATTTTCTGTTACAGAGGAGAAATCTAAGACCAGTCTGATTTTTTTTTTTTTTTGGTAATTTTAGTTATGAACTTTTATGCAACATATAACATAGCATAAATACAAAATAAAACAAAAATAATTAGAAATCAAAAGGAATGTAATTAAGATACAATTTTGTGGTAAATTCAGCTTTTGACAAACATAAAGGGACACAAAAATTTGAATAATATAATTAATGTAACTTAAGTTCCACAGAATATTTTATAATATTAAAATGCTAAACAAGACAACCATCATCTTCCCCAGTACACTTAGCCCTAAGTAAAAAGCTCTTAATTCCAAAAGACAGAAATTATGCAGGTCATAATTTTGTACATGAGGTCATAAAACTAAAAATTAAGAATACAATGACAATTAGATATAAACTACTTGGAAATTTGAATACATTCGTAATAACTAATTATTGGATAAAGATAAAATCATATAAGTATTATAAAACTACATATTTTTCCAAAATTAATTTATATATGTAACACAATTTCAATTAATATCTCAATAGAGTTTTTTCTGAAATATGACAAAATTATTCTAAAGTTTACTCAGAAGAATAAACTGGCAAAAATATTTAATTTAAAAGAAGACTACTGATGAGAGTCTCATCCTATTAGATATTAAAACATTATAAAACAATAATAATAACTATAATAATAGATAACAGTTATTCAGTGCTTATTATGTGCCAGACACTTTTCTAAGCACATTACATTAATTATGTGATCCTCATAGCAGTCCTATGTCTATACTTGGATTTTCCCCATTTAACAAATAAAATACCATGCAAAGTTAGGTAGAAGACAGATAAATGAGTGGAACAGAAAAGATAGCCTGAAAACAGATACACACACATGTATGTATGTGTATGTATGCATTATGGGTATGTATGTGTACTTATATGTATCTATAAATCTATATTATAATCCAGGAGGAATCAAAGGTGAAAAGAAAAGGATTATTTGGGTAATTGTCCAAGTTAATTGGTTAATGCAGTTAGTCTCAAACCTGGCTGTGCATCAAAAGCATCTATGTTTTTTTGTGTTGTGGTTTTTTTAAATACACAAGCTGGGGTTGTATCCCTAGTCAGATTCAATAGCTCTGGGGTAGGGCTCTGGATGTAGTGCTATTCAGCTCCTCAGGTGATTCTGATGCCCTGGAATTTTTACTTTAAATCATATATGTATTTTAATGTATCTTTTTGTTTCTGATTCCTAATTGCATTGTAGTGAGAGGATATAGTTTGATACCAATAATTTAAAAGTTGTAGGAACTTGCTTTAAAACTTCACAGTTGGTCCATTTTTTTAAATGTTTTTGTTGATCTCAGAGAGTGGAAGGGAGAGGCAGAGAGAGAGAAACATCAACAATGAGAGAGTCATTGATCAGCTGCCTCCTGCATGCCCTCTGCTGGGGACTGAGCCCACAACCCAGGCATGTGCCCTGACAGGGAATCGAACCTTGCTCTCCTGGATCCTAGGTCGATGCTCAACTGCTGAGCCACGCCCACTAGGCTACAGTCCATTTTTAAAGGATTAATGTGTGGTTGAGAAAATTTATATTTTTTTACTCTCAAGCTTATTGTTTTAGGTGTATCTTTTGTAAATGAATTTTAAAAATCTAATCTGAAACTCTGATACTAAGCCTTCTCTGTCTTTTCATCCTATGTTATACTCTTTCATCTTTTTTTTCCTCTGCTGTCATGTGAGTGGCTATCTTCCAGCTCCATACTTCTCTGCTCAGTGAATTCTAATCTTCTGATTAGCAATCCACTGAGTTTCTTTATTTCAATAACTATATTATATTTTTATTTCTAAAAGTTGTTTTTTCTACAAATAAATCTAGTTATTTTTATTTTGTTGCCTGCTTGTATTTCTGATTCCATTATTTATTTCTTCAAATATATCATGCATAGTTACTTAATATTCTACATCTGATAATTCTAATATATGAATTATTTGAAGATCAAATATATTTTGCTGTGTCTGGTGACTCCTCATGGTGACTCATATCTTTGTACATTTGATGATCTCTAATTGTGAACACCTATTTATTAGATCTTAATCTATGGGAATCTGAAGGCCTAAATAGAAGATGCTTTCCTACAGAGAAGCATTGAGCTGACTTCTTCCATAAGCCTGGGTGCTACCTACCTGAGACCAATTCATCCCCCTTGACTGAGACTGGAAGGTCTGCTTCCAAGCTCACTCACATGGCTATTGGCAGGACACCTGAGTTCGTTGCTGCCCATTGACGGGAGGGGGGGGCTAATTTCCTAATCCATGTTTTTCCCATTTTGAATTCTATGTTACCCCCTTCCCAGACACATGGTGCTTCCCCATCTTAATAGATAACATGGCTTAAGATTTTGTGTAGCTTAGCTTCTTACTCTGACTCATCTTATGTTTTCCCAAATATTAGCCAACTTCATAGGATCAAATGCTATTTTGTTATCCTTTGGCCCTATAATATTACAAGAAACTTACATAGGCAAGAAGCTAAGATATTCACTGGTGAAGAGATTTCAGCAACAATTTGATCCTTGCCCAACTGAGGACACCGGGATAGAAGCCCAACAGTAGCCCAGATAAAGAAAGGGTTTTAGTAAGAACTCACCATCTGTCCATCTGTTAGCAAATTGACACAGCGGAAAAATCTAACCAGTACCCAAGACTGGTTCCCCATAAGCAAGTCTGAAAGTCCATTTGGGAAAAGACCTGATAATCGAACTAGCTGTGAGAACACTAGCTAGGAAAGATAGCCCATAAGTGTTTCTGTGAATTCATTTAATCTTAGAAGGGCCCGAGTTTCCACTTATCCTGAGCTTTCCCTGAGAATCTCCCTGCACCTTATATAACCAGTCGGGGTTGGGTGCCCCTCCTTTGTGTTACCACAGCCTCTACACTTACCTCCACTTGAACTCCTGACTTTCATGTTTACTCAGCTACCAACGAGCTATTTAAGGGGACCTGGCACATTCCAGATTTTCAATGTTTCTTGAATATATTACTAAATGATTCATTACCTTACACAATTTGCCAAATTCAACACACTAAGTTGCTTCAAAGGTGAGAGTGACTTGAGGCTACCATCTGTTATTCCCTTGCAGTTCACCATGTAAATGTGACTAATGTTTGGATAATGCTTGTCTATAAACTTGAAGCATGCATCAGTAATCCTTTTATTTCCTGTTTAAAAAAACACACAAAAAAACAGAAGAAAAGACAAGTATTTAAATTGCCACAAGAGGAAAAGTTAATGTTGAACCACATTTTTAATATCACAGACCTTCAAATCGTATCTTGCTGAGGTTACAAGCAGAAAGAGCTTTGAAAGCAAGATCGGAGATATGTGGCGCACCAATGAAAACCACTGATGTAATACGATGACATTTTTCAACTAAAGCCTTTAGAAGAAAAAAGATGGTTAAATTAACCACAATACAAGGTTAGCAAAGTAATGAGATCATTTTTTCTCTCAATATTTTCAGAAATAGACACATAAACTATTAAATTTTCATTTTTTCAAAGAAAACAGGACTTTTTTCAATATATTTTAGCATATTTACATTAGAATAATGCAGAGGAATCAGAATTAAATCATGTTATGAAACTATGGGAAAATATGGAAAAATAGAATGCTGAAAAAATCACTACATTTAGAAGCTTCACATGTAGAACTAAACTTAAAATTTATGCTTAGGCTATAATATCACTGAAACAAAAATATCCTACCTGTGAAACAAAGTTTCTTAGGGTATTTAAGGAGTCAAATGTTTAAATGTGTGTGGGGGTAAATTTTAAATGATTTCCTTACTATATATATAAAAAAAAAAACTAATATGAAAAGGCCATTCATATTTTTCAGCGGTTCAAGTCACTAGAAAATGTGCCCATCTAATAGGACTGAGAAGAAAATGTACTTTCCAACAACTTACTTTTAAACAGCTGTCGGTCAGAGTTGGCATATCATTGATGGTCAGATGCATGATTCCAGTGCAGCTGCTTGCAATGTTCCTGAAGCCTTGGACTGAAATCTGAATTGTACAGAGTAGGTAGAAATAATGGGAGAACCCATTAGCATAAAATTTAATAAAACCCTCTGGTAGTAATTACCAAAGGTATATCATGATTTTGCTACTGTGTTTTAAAATGGAAACCAGAGCTAGCCAGTATGGCTCAGTTGGTTAGGCATCATTGCGTGCAAAAGGTTGCCGGTTCAATTCCCGTTCAGGGCATATGCCTGGTTTCCACCTCAATCTCCAGTGTGGGGGGCAGCCGATTAATGTCTCATTCTCACATTGATGTTTCTCTCACTCTCTCCCTTTCTCTTCCTCTCTTCTCTAAAAATCAATTTAAAATTTTTTAAAAACTTTTTATTTTTAAAATAGGGCAAACAAAATGTGGCAGAATAGAGGTAAAGAATCTAGTCTTGATTTCTTTCTTTACTATTTAATATTTTACATGTATATATTGTGAAATGATAATCACAAGTCTAGCTAACATATTAATTATCTGAGGTAAAATTCACATAACATAAAATTAATCACTTAAGCCATTTAACCATTAATAATTTTGTGCAAGCACAACCTCTAACTAGTTCCAAAACATAGTATCACCCTAAAACAGCAATTTTCAACCTTTTTCATCTCATGGCACACATAAATTAATTACTAAAATTCTATGGCACACCAAAAACTATTTTTTGCCAATGTGATGAAAAAAATAGGTATAATTTTGATTCATTCACACTAGATGGCTATTGTTGTGTTGGCTGTTGTCATTTTTTTATTTGACAATCTAAGGGAAAAGAGGTCAGCGCCCTAACTAAATAGTCAGGTATTGTATGTTTTAGAAATTTGTGCAGCATACCGGTAGAAAATCACTGCCCTAAAAGAAAATCCTTTACCTATTAAGCAGTTGCTTCCCATTCTTGCCTTCTCCCAGTCCCTGGTAAACATTAACCTGTGTTCTGTCTCTATGAATTTACCTATTCTAAATATTTTCTATAGGTGGAATTATATAACATGTGGCCTTTTATGTCTAGTTTCTTTCACTTAGCATATTTTTGAGGTTAATCCATTATGTAGCATGTATCTATCTTACTTGTTTTTATGGCTGAATAATATATTCTATTGTATGGATATACCACATTTGTTTATACATTCATCTGCTAATGAATATTTGGATTGTTTCCATCTTTGGGGTACTTTATATGGTGCTGCTATAAATGTGCGTGTACATCTATTTGTTTGAGTGCAAGTTTTGACTTCTTTTGGTTATATATCTAGGAGTGGAATTACTGGGTTATATGGTAATTCTATGTTTAACTTTTTAAAGAACCACCAAGGTGATTTCTAAAGTGCCTGCACCATTTTACATTCCCAGCAGCAATCTATGGGGATTCCAATTTCTCTATATCTTTGCCGATACTTGTTTTCCATATTTTTCTTTTTCATTTTTTAAATTTCCTGATGGGTTTGAAGTAGTATCTCATTGTGATTTTTATTTTCATCTCCCTAATTACTGATAGTGAGCATGTTTTAGTCATTTGTATATCTTTTTTGGTGGAATGTCTATTCAAGTCATTTGCCTATTTGAAATTAGATTGTCTTTTTGTTGTTGAGTTGTAAGAGTTCCATATATATTCTGGATACTAGACCCTTAGATACATAACTTGAAAATATTTTTCCCATTGTCAAGTTTTTAAATAATATCTTTTGCCATACTACCCAAAGCAATCTATAAATTCAATGCAATTCCTACTAAAATACCAACAAACACTCCAAAATTTCACAGACATAGAACAAACACTCCAAAAATTTATATGGAATCAAAAACGAACCGGAATAGCCATGGAATGCTTGAGAAAGAAGAACAAAGTTAGAGGGATCACAATACCAGATATCAAGTTACACTACAAAGCCACTGTAATCAAAACAGCATGGTACTGGCACAAGAACAGGCATATAGATCAACCAAACAGAAAAGAGAACCCAGAAATCAACCCAAGCCTTTACTCTCAATTACTATTTGACAAAGGATACAAGAGCATACAATGGAATAAAGACAGTCTTTTCAATAAATGATGCTGGGAAAATTGGACAGTACATGCAAAAAAATGAAACTAGACCACCAGCTCACACCATACACAAGAATAAACTCAAAATGGATAAAAGAATTAAATGTAAGTCATGAAACCATAAAAATCCAGAAGAAACCATAGGCAGCAAAATCTCAGACATCTCTCATAGCATTATGTTTGCTAATACATCTCCTAGGGCAAGGGAAACAAAGAAGAAAATAAACAAGTGGGACTACATCAAAATAAAAAGCTTCTGCACAGCAAAAGAAATCATCAACAAAATGAAAAGGTAAAAAGGGAGCCCATTGTATAAAAGAACATATTTTCCAATGATACATCTGATAAGGGGTTAATTTCAAAAATATATAAGGAACTCATACAACTTAAGAAAAAGAAGATAAACAATCCAATTAAAAAATGGGCAAAGGACCTAAATAGACACTTCTCCAACAAGGACATACAGATGACCAAGAGACATATGAAAAATTGCTCAAAGTCACTAATCATCAGAGAGATGCAAATTAAAACCACAATGAGGTATCACTTCACACCTGTCAGAATGGCTCCCATCAACAAGTCAACAAACTACAAATGCTGACAAGGATGTGGAGAAAAGGGCACCCTAGTACGCTGCTGGTGGGAATGCAGACTGGTGAGGCCACTATGGAAAACAATATGGAGTTTCCTCAAAAAATTAAAAATGGAACTTCCATTTGACCCAGTGATCCCACTTCTAGGAATATATCCTAAGAAACCAGAAACATCAGTTAGAAAGAATATATGCACTCCTATGTTCATAGCAGCACAATTTACAATAGCTAAGATCTGGAAACAGCCCAAGTGTCCATCAGATGAGTGGATAAAAAAGCTGTGGGACATTTACACCATGGAATACTATGCAGTTGTAAAAAAAGAAGGATCTAGTACTATTTGGGACAGTATGGACAGAACTGGAGAGTATTATGCTAAGTGAAATAAAACAGTAAGAGAACGACAAGTATCACATGATCTCACTCATATGTGGAATCTAATGAACAGAATAAACTGATGAACAAAATAGATACAGAGACAAAGAAACAAAATTAATAAATAAATAATAAATAAATAAATAATAAAATCCTATTATTATAGCATAGTAAAAGCTAGTAAAATTCCAAGACAAGAGGACTAAGAAAAGTTAGTTAACAGCAGTCTGCAGCCACCTAGCAAATCCTATCTTCCCTAAACCAAGGATATTTGACAGTAAATGGTTTTCACTTCTCCTCCCCAGCCAGAGAGTAGATAGCTTAAATCACTCTATTCATGGAGACAGATAACAGAAATACAATTAGTGCTATTTGCCAACCATACCCAAGGACAAATGAAGTTAAGATAATAAACCTCATTTTGGTACATCAGCATAAAGTTGATGAATACTCAGCCCCTGGCCCCTGGTGCCTTCCCTAAATGCCCAGCCTTTAAAACCACTGAAAATGAAGGTCCCAATGTGCCCCCCACCCAAGGGAGCATGCCAGTGCAATCTCCTTCCCCCTTCTTCCTTCTGAAGGAACCCCACTAGACTTGCAACCAGAGGAGCAATGGGCAGAGGCAGCTCAGTTCCAGGGTGCTCTCCCTCCAGAGAGCAGGCCTGTGCTATTCCCTTCCCTTTCTCCTTCACCCACAGGCATGTGTCCCCTAATGTGTAAGGGACCCCATGAGACTTGAAACCAGGGGAGCAATGGGCGGCAGCAGCAGCTCGTCCTGGGCTAGCCGCCTGAACCTGTTTCCAAGGCCCCCTTCTCTCTCTGACTTCCCAGTACCCAAAGCAGCCCAGCCTAGGCTTTCCTGTTCCTTCTTCTATGCCCTTCTTTGTTCCATTGTCTTAAATATATTTTTGCTGCAGTCAATAAATTCTTGCTTTCTTTTCTACACTTTGTCTCTTGGTTGAAATCTTTCCCTCAGGAAGACAAGAACCGAGGTCTTGTCTCCCCATCTCCCTGGTAATACTCTGATATACAAGTTTTTAACTTTAATGAAGCCTAATTTATCTATTTTTGTTGTTGTTGCTCATGCTTTTGGTGTTCTAGCTAAGAATCCATTGCCAAATCCAAGGCCATGAAGATTTACCCCCAGTGTTTTGTTCTGTTTTATCATTTTAGCTCTTATATTTAAATCATTGGTCCATTTTGAGTTAATTTTTATATACAGTGTGAGGTAGGGTCCAACTTTATTTAATTATTTTTTGTATGCAGAATCCAGTTGCTCAGCACCAATTGTTGAAGAGAGTATTCTTTCCCCCATTGAGTGGTCCTGGCATCCTTGTCAAAAATCAATTGGCCATAAAAGTATAGGCTTATTTCTGTGTGTGTCTGTCCTTATGCTAGTACCACACTCTTTTGACTGCTGTAGCTTTGTAGTACTGACTTCTTTCTTTCAACTATCATCATCCATATTAATGGAAGCAGCAGTGGTAGAGTGCGCCCAAAATAATGACTGATTGAAAGATAAAATATATTTGCCTATGATGAATTACCTTAAAAAAATTTGTTATTTAGGCTTTATTTCCTATGACAAACGAGCATGGATGGGAAGTCAGATGGCGTTCGGATTCAGTAATGGGAAACTGAGCCTCTGCACAGGAACAGCCAGCAGAGGCAACCACCCTGCTGTGTCATCTTCATAATAACCTGACAGGGAGAATGAGGAGCAGCAGCTACCATGGACCCCTCGGGAGACCTTGGAGACGTGTGTGCACCATCTCTCACTAAAGGTGATTTCCAAGTTTCTGTCATCAGAGCCTCCACGTTTTTGAAAAGGATTAGTCAAGAGTTAGGGAACTGAGTACCACAACTGCAGAACAACTACAGCTCATCTCAAATGCTACTTCCTCAGGAAGTGTCCCTGACCCTTAGATTAGGCTGGGTTATTGTCATACACTTACAGTACCAATTATCATAACTATAATTAAATTAA